GGGTTGTTGGAACATTYGCTGAGATTATGTTTATTTAAAAATGAGGAAACAAACTGAAAGAAAGCCTGCTGGCCACGGAGGGGGCGCGTAACAGTGCCCTCTCAAGAGGGCAAGAGCCCTGTCTTGTGGCTTGTGGCTTGGACAGAGCAGGGGCTCAGTCAACGTAGGTTCAATACTTAAAAAAAAAAAAAAGCTTGGATTTGGCTTCTGAATAGTAACAGATCACATGGGAGAAACTGAGGCTCACCAAGCATCAGTGTAAGGGGCACTTCTTGGGTGCCTCTGTAGATACAGGTATCAACAGGTGTCACACCGAGCCCAGCAGCCCACAGAATTGCTTTTGTTTGTTTGTGAAAGTGCTTTATATTTTTATTTTAATTCTTTATTTGTTCTTTTTAGTTACACAGGACAGTAGAAGGCATTCTGACATACCACACTTACGTGCGGTAGAACTTCCCCTTCTGGTGATTAGACACCAGGTGGAGTTACACGGGTCACATGTTATTCATACATAAACATAGGAAAGTGACGTCTGATTCATTCTACTGTCTTTCCCATTCTCAGCCCCTTCCCTTCCGCTCTCCTCCAATCCAATCTGGTGAACCTCGGTGCTTCTCCCCACTCCCCGCTCCCCTGGTCCAATCCTGTGAACCTCCACCCCCCCACCCCATTGTGAGTCACCATCCAATCCCCCACCCCATTGTGAGTCAGTAACCACACATCCGAGAGAAAATTATGAGGGGAATAAAAATCATTACTTTTGAAATCATTAAGTTTTCAGGAGGTTTAATAAGATAAGTGAAACCACATTTCTAGATCATTCCTTTTAAAAAAATCAATAAAGAAGCACCCAAAAAATAACGGAAACTTTTCTCCTACATGAATGTCTGTGCTGGTACATCACCGTCTCTGCAAAGCATTCAAGAGTGTAAACTTTTTCTCTTGTGTTTCTGACATGCCAAGAGAGAAGTCCAAGATTGTACACCACCATGGCCAAGTTCCGGGCAGCAAGAGAGGAAAGAGGAAAGGAACGCACCGCCCTTCCTTTTAGAAAAAGTAGTTGCTGGAATCTGGTCTGCCTGCAGAAATGGCCAGAATTTAGTGGCTTCGCATGATCCCTCTTAGTCATAGGACCCAGGCAAGAGATGCTGGGAAATACTGTTCTTAACGCTGAATAGCCACGTACCCAACTGGAAATGGAGGGTTCTGTCATTGAAATTGGTCTTGAAAATCAGGTTGGGGTCTGGTTCCCCCAGCGTTGAAGATTGAACACCTGAGAAACGCTGGGGCAAGAGCAGAAAGTTTAAAGGGTAGCACAGAGGGGTGGCGGGAGACTTCTCTGGAGAGGAGGGGGTCCAGAGCTGGTGTTCAGGGAGTAGGGGGTGTCTGGCCCCTTTTATAGATTTTAGGTTTCCTTTCTTCTCATGGCCCCTCCTCCTCTTATCTTGCCTACGTGGTCAACAGGAAAGAAGCCACACATGGGTGCTTCTCCCGATTTTCCAGATCTGCCCAGAAAGGCAGGGAGGGAGCAGCCCCGGGGGAACTCCTTAACCACCCCTCGCCGGCTGGAGCAATTCCCCCAGGCTCTTGCCGAGGGGTGGGAGGAGGGGGAGGGCTCTGGAGGCCTCTGCGAGGGGTCTTCTGGACCCGGCTCTTCACCGTCTACTCTGACTTTCCTTTGCCCCAGTCTCCTGGCTGTGAGTATAGGGAGAGAACACAGGAAGGAAAATGAGAAAGGGAGAGGTCGCCAGATGAGTGGAGCACCCAGGAGCGAACTGGAGTCCAAGAGCATTTAACATCTGTGCTGCCGCGCTTCAGAATTGCTGCTGCGTCCTAGAGGCTTCTGGTTCCAAATGGGAGTGTCTACTGTGGGTCCATGACACACCACTAGAGGTTGGGAATGGAAGGGGTAAAATACCTTGTATTGGGGGGTCTGTGGACTTGTTCTTGAGATTCACACACCACCCGCCATGCCATGTCTAGATCACTTAGGTATCCGAACTTGAGGTTGATACACTACCGGGTTGGCGGGGACTTGGGGTAACTTTCCAGGGAGTGATGAGTGTCTTTTACAAGCAGGAGGGGAAATGACCTGAGCTTTTTAGTAACCGAATGGGTGGATTCTGCCTGGTATTGAAGACTGCTCTCTGCCTGGTGCTTTCAGCTTGATTCTTTTCAGGTCCACGCAGGCACTCCACTTCCCTATATACCCTGAAGCTAGTCAGGGCTATGGGACATGCTTTGACCAGTGGAAAGTGAGTGGCGGTGACGTGAGTCCACCTGTGACTTTCTACTTTCCCTCCCCACTCTTGCGTGGGCAGGGAGCCTTCTTCAGCCGACCATGAGCCGAACCCCTGGCTGGTATGCAAACAGTGTGAGCAAGAAATAAACGGGTACTATGCAGAGACACTGGAGAGCTGTGTGTTCCTCAGCTTAACCAGCTCAGCCTGCTCTGACCAACCAACATGCCATCTTCAGGAGGAGGAGGAAGTATCAGCTTGGATGACCAAATTCGGATTCCTTTTGTTGTCCTTACCAAGGCAGAGCCTGGGTCATGTGACCTTGTATTCTGGCCGGCAGGTTGTGAGCAGAATTGATTCCTGTAACTAGTGTTGCTAAAGAGGGGGAGTGCCTTTCTTTACTCCCCCCGCCCCGTGCTGACTGGAACTTGGCCAGGCACTGTGCCATCTTGGACCGTGAAGACCAGGGCTTCACTCCTGGCATGTGACAGACTCAAGAGAAAGAGTGTGGGCTCCGGTCTGTCGTCAGATCAGAGCTGATGTACCAACCCAGACTTTGACCTAAGAGAATACTGTGTCTCCTTGCCTATTTCAGCATCTAACTGTCCCTTCTGGCTTGTGAGGGGCAGAGGGCACAGGGGTAGAATAGGGGAGAATAAGTTCTGAGACACAGGAGTCCTGACGTCCCTCCTCCCAGCTGGAATCCCAGGAGTGGGAGGCCTGATCTTTAAGGTGGAAGCTCTAAGCCAAGGGGCCTTTGTCCCTTTTCTTCTTAAGGTTCTGACAAGGATCATGTCAATGGGCACAACCCTGTGGGGTGTGAGCCAGCCACATAGAAGGGAAAGAGGCAGCCAAGTTGGATAAGGAGGAAGCCTGGGTTTCCAAGATGCCCTCAGATCCCTGAGGCACGAAGGGAGGCAGAAGTTTCCAGGTGTCCCACGGGGAAACCAAAAGGCAGCGCAAAGGCGCCTGGTGGGTCCTAGGCTTCCTTTTGGAGGAAAATTACCTTACCTCCCGTGTCCCAATTTTCCCCAGAGCCAATCCCCTCAACTCCTTCTCCTGCATGGGCTCCTGACTCCCCTGACTTGGAGGAAGAAAAATAGTGAGGGAAGGAGGAAATGAGTTTTCAAGGGTACGGGAAGCAATAGCAGGGAATTCTCTTCCCCCAGCCTCAGCTATACGGTCTGCGGTCTGCGGGTGGGGAGGTCTTGGTTTCAGAAAACGTCAGACATCACCCATGCTGTATGGATGAGCTTTCTGTTGCCATAATGAAATGCCTGAGGTAATTAACTGATAATGGGAGAAGGGTTATTTTGGCTCGCCATTTTGGAGATTCCAGTCCACAACTGGACAGATTAACACTTGGGGCTTCTAATGAGGGTGCCACATGGCATTGGCAGGGAGTGCCCCGTGAAGCAAATTACTCACCTTATGGCCAGGAAGCAAAGAGAGCTAGGAAGTGGCCATGGACCCCAAAGACCTAAGGACCTCACATCAGGTCCAACCTCCTAAAGGTCCACAGCACCTCCCAATAGCAACACCCTGGAGACCAAGCCTTTAACAGTATCCCCCTTGGGGAATACTGGGTGCCATCCATAGCAACTTGTTCAACTTCCAGCAGGGCTGCAGGGCGTGGAGCACAGTCAAACTACACCCAGCTCAGTCACCAAGTGGGGAGGCCCCAGTTCTTCATGTCACAATGCAAATCTGCTCTGCAGCATCAACCGTGCTCCATAGCAATCATTTCAGCCCGGGGGAGAGGCGCAGGGGCCCAGGGCCGGAGCACCAGAAGGGCATTAGGTCAGGTGGAGAGGGGGAAGGAATCCAGGCAGACTGCACAGACCTGGCAAAAATCTAGAGTGGGACTCAGACAGGGTGCAATGTGACTGTGAAATGGGGGCTAGAAGATTCTACAAATGGAGCTAGTGACAGAACACAGTGGGGAGTGTATCACATAGTGATAAAGAAAAAGTCCCTAAGGTCACGCCCCCATGCTTGGGATACGTTAGGATGGGGAGTCATTTTGGGGTGCTGTCAGCTGAACCCCTAGACCTGGAATCTTCAGTGGTTGGAGGTGGGGGGGGGAGTGTATGCCGATTGCCTGGACCCTGAGGACTGTCGACCTGCAGGACTCCCTCTCGCCTGACCTGTCTGCCGGCTATAGCAGCAAATGAAATTGTTCATCTCCCTCCTCTTCCAGCCCTTGAACCCTAGTTCAGACCACCATCCTCCCTCACCGTCAAATGAAGCTGTCCAGTTTCAGTGTCCACAGTCCCCCCTCCCCCGTACACACACTCTGCTAAAGGTGACTGCGGCAGCTCTCAGGCCAGAGCCCGCGGTGAAACACTTACCCAGCACGCAAGGTCCTGCGCTCCACCCCAGCCACGGCAGGGAGTGATGGGAGTCCCCACACCGTCCACCCCCAATAGATGCCCAGTGAGGATTTGTGAGTGAACGAACGCGCACCAGGTGGGGACCCCAAAAGGAAGGTGGAAGGCTCGGCCTGGGGGCAGGGCAGGGCGTGGCGGGCAACTCCCCACCCCCCTCCACGCCCCTCGCACTCGGCTCGGAGCTCGGGGATGGCTGAGTGGGAGGGGATTTCCCTGCCCGCAGAACAGATCAAGCTCTTCGCCTCCATCGGACATCCCCAGAGAGGTCCCCGGCAGGTTCAGGCAGGCAGAAGTTCAAGAGCTGGGCGAGGTGGCCGAAGCTTCCTTCTCTTCCGACCGCGCTCCGGGTCCCCTCGCCCTGCCCGCAGCGATGCCGGAGGAGAGCTGGGTCCGCACGGTGCGCCGCTCGCCGTGGAAGACCGTCTCGCCCTACGTCTTCTCGGTCATCCTCTTCGCTGTTTTGGCCACCTTCTGCTTTCAGCAGCCGCCGCGGCTCGAGGGACCTGAGGTGAGTCGAGAAGGAATAGTGGAAAGGAGGCACACTCGTCCCCAGCTCCCGGGGCCCAGGGACCTCCGGTGGGGAGCCCGGGGGAGAGGCGCAGGGGCCGTGCGCCGGAGCGCCAGGCACAGCCGAAGAACGGAAAAGACAAAATGGAAATGAAACGATTCAAAGCAAGATCCTGTAGCGCAGAGAGAGCGCCTGAGCAGGAGGCCCCGCAGGGCCCCGCTGCCCGGGAGGTGCGGGGGATCCCGGGTGGGAAAGGTGCATCCGACTCGCGCAGGGACGATGACTCGTCCCTGGTGTTCCCCCGCGGACTGACTCAGAGGCTGCTAGGGGCTTCACAAAGCTGGCCTTGGGGGCGGGGGCCCTGGGGAGGGGGCTGCCAGGGCCGGAGAGCCAGCAGCAGCCCGTGAGCCCGGCCGCCTGGAGACGCTCGGGCCGCTGCTGGAGGGAGGTGGGTGTGCGGGCCGCTCCACCCTCGCGGTGGCTCCGGGAGGGAGATCGGAGGCGCAGAGTTCCAGGAAAAGTAGGAAGTCCTTTTCAAGGTTTTGGCTTTGATCTCTCTGCCGTTCAAACCGACTTCCTCTTTAAGAGGTCTTTCAGAAATCACGACTGGGCCCGGAGGGATGAGGAGTGGACCAGAAGACCCTGGCCCAAGGGGCGTGGAGCACTGTGCTCACGTCCTCTCTCTGTTCTGGTCTTTTCTTCCAGGGGGACCTAGCCGAGCTCCAGCTGAACCTCACAGGTAACTCTGGTCTGGTGGGGGCGGGGGACACGGAGAGCCAGGAGGGCAAGTCCAGAGACACCACCTTCCAGTGTGCTCCTCACACTGGGTCTCTTCCCTTGGAAAAGACTAAAACTGCCCCCCTCACCCCAGAGCTGGCGCTTCCTTCATTCTTTTCCACCATGTGGAACAAAGGCCACTATAGGTGCCACTGTAGTGAACAAAGCAGGCAAAGCCCCTGTCCTGGGGAGTGCCCTGCCACCAGGGGGATGACAGTGAGCATGGGCTTGCTTACCAGGGCAGCTCTGGGACCCAGCTGCCCAGCCTTTGTGGCCCTGGCTTCCCCCAGCACCTTCCCCAACACAAACTCACAAAGGGACAGGAAGACAAGTGGAGGGCCACAGGCAAGGGGAAGACTTAAGCAAGTGGGGGTTGGGACTGCCATATGAAGTGGGGCCCCCTATGCTGTCGGTGGGGAAGAATTTCTAGCCTCTCCCTAATGCTTTTGGGCCCTGGCCCCCTCTGTGTGAGGCTGCCAGTCGACCTCCCCCCCTCCCCTCCCCTCCCTCCTCTAACTGGCCTTTCGGGTCTCTGGAGAGTGGCTGTGGGCTCTGGCACTGCCCTGACACGGCTCCAGGACATTTGGTCTGGAGTTTACCATGTGTCCTCCCTAGGATGCTTCTTGGTCCCGGCCGATGGTCTGTTTGCTCAAGTGTCCAACCCATGACCAGGTGTCCCTCTCACAGGAAGCTTGACACTGGCAAGCACTCTGGTGGCTCTCCTCTGACCTGTGTCCAGCTCATGCCTCTCACGATGGCCCCTATCTGGGAGCCTGACCCAGAGGAGAGGGAGACTCAGGTGTGCCTCAGGAACAGGATGAGACTGAGAGTGGTGCACAGGGGAGAGAGAGGCAAGAGCCCTCTGGACCTTGTATCGGCCTCACCGAGGCCTTTTCTTCTTGAAAGGCAAACAGGAACTGGGTAAAAGAGAGAGAAAAACTGAGAGTGGTCCCTGTGGCATAGCTGTACAGGCTGTTCAAGGTGCAGGGGTCAGGGGACGAGTCAAAGTGGCTGTCTTCAGGGAGGTGGCCACCTGGGAGTAGTCATGCCTGGCACAGATCCACGGAAGTGAGGAGGCAGAGGACGGGACCATGTCACTGGTGACTGAGCCCTGCTTCTGGCACGAGAATGAGAACGCCAGCTCATATTCGAAATGATGAAAGGCGGAGAGAAGCCCAGGACCCCGGCACTCTCCCTCCTTCCCTCCCTCCCTCCCTCCTCTCTGCCCCTCTGCCTGCGGTCTCTGCTCTTCTGGGTCTCCTCCGTGTCTCTGCTTCCCTCCCTCCTCCCTCCCCTTCCTGCTCCTTGTCCTCCTCCTTTTGCCCCCCTCCCTCCTTCTGCCTCGCACTCCCTATTTCTGTCCACCTGGGTTTCCCTAAATTCCACCTTCTGTCCCCCAACCCTCTGCCCCAGGTCCCCGGCTGGACCCCAGGCTGTGCTGGCAGGCGGGCCCAGCCTTGGGCCGCTCCTTCCAGCGTGGACCAGAGTTGGTCAACGGGCAGCTGCGGGTCGTTCGTCGAGGCTTCTACAGGCTGCACATCCAGGTGACACTAGCCAACTGCTCCTCTGTGTGGACCACGGTGCCTCCCAAGGCCACTCTGATTGTGGGCATCTGCTCCCCAGACACCCACAGGATCAGCCTGCTGCGCCTGAATTTCCACCAGGGCTGCGCTGTCACCTCCCAGCGCCTGACATTCCTGGCCTTTGGGGACACCCTCTGTACCAACCTCACCCTGCCTCTGCTGCCCTCCCAAAATGCTGATGAGACCTTCTTTGGCATTCAGTGGGTGCACGACGATCACGATCACGGTTCCTGATTGGTTTATTTGATCATTTTTTTGTTTGTTACTATTTTCCCCATTTGGGGGGGGGGAGGATGGGGAGGCAGGGCTGAGTGTGGGACCCAGGGCTTCCTACCGGATGCTAGGCCAGCACTATATTTTTAGCCACATCCCCAGCCCTTATTTTGAAACAGGGTCTCACTGAGTTGCCTTCTCAGGCTGGCCTCATACTTGCCATCCTTCTGCCTCAGCCTCAGGAGTCCTGGGATTATAGGACTTGCTCCCCGATACCAGCTCCTCCTTGATACACCTGTTGGATAGGCAGACAGCTTCCTGGGATGGACAGGAGCTACCTCACCAGCCCTGCTCAAAGCTGAAAATAAGAGCAGTGCTGTAGCATATCACCTCCCAGAGGATCCTAAGACACACAATGACTAACTGTCTTGGGAGAGTTATTGGAAAGAAAATGTAAAATAAATAGAAAATAAGAAAATGTAAATAAAGTGTGGGCCTTGCTTAATGACAATATATCTACCTTGGTTCATTAATTGTAACAAAGGTATCAGACTAGTGAAAGATACTGCCTTGGTCCTTTGGGATGCTGTAACAAAACACCTTAGACTGGGTATTTTATAAACAGCGTAACAACCTCACAGTTCTGGAGGATGGAAGTCCAAGATCCAGGTACCAGTGGATTTGGTGTCTGGTGTGGGATTCAAAGATGGCAGCTTCTTCAGTGTCCTCAGAAGGTGCCAGGGCCTCCCCCAACCCCTTTCATAAGGACCCAAAGGTGGAACCCCATGACTTAGTCACTTCCCAAGGAATCCACCTGTCCATGCCATTCTATTGGGCATCAGGTCCAGCACATGACATACGGGGTGTACCTAGACCACAACAGATGTTAAAAAGAGGAACATGTGCATGGGGTATGTGGGAATTTTGTACATTCACTGATCAATTTTCCTGTAAGTCTAAAACTGTCCTGAAAATAAAGGCCATTAATATTTTTAAGTTAATAAATAAAAGTGACTCACTTTGTGGGAGGATATATCTCAGCGGGTTTCAAAATCAGCACTGGGTTTGTGAAACTGGAGCCTCCAAGGGATCTCCACAATAGACACCAGAGGACAAGAACAGATGTGAACCAGAAGCTTCCTCTAGTATGCATTCGTGCAGGGTGGCATTGCTTACGAAAGCCAAAAAGCACCCCACCTGACAAACACAAGTCCACCCGTGCCATGGAATATCACACAGCCTTGAAGAGCAAGGAGGTCCTCCCCTGCCAAGATATAGATGAGCCCTGAGGACATTATGCTCCATGAAGTAGACATATCTGGTCTGATCCCATTCACAGGAAGTCCCTGGAGTCTTTGGATCCACAGAGAAAGAAAGATGGGTGGGTTAGGGTGGGGAGTTCATGTTTAAGGGGGACAGAGTTTCAGTTTGGGAAGATGGAAAGTTCTGGAGGTAGGTCGTGGTGATAGTTACACGACGCTGTGACTGTGTTTCATGCTGCTGGACTGCACACTACGGTGACTGTTATAAATTTTATGTGTCTATTGCCACACAAAAAATTAAAATATGATCAGACATATCATAAGGTTTCTGACTCACCATCCTCCATCCCTACCACATAAAGACTCCCAGGGGAGACAAGGGAGGGCTGAGTGGGGATCAAGAGCTTAGAGATTGCTAGGTGACTGAGAAAGGGTCCCTCAGGCCTTCCCTTGAGGGAGGGACAGAAATTCCAGGGGGCTGTGGAGAGCAGCGACATCCACCCTGTAGGGCAGGAGGGAAGTCCAGGAGTGGTCCAGGGTCCAAAATGACTCGGACAGCCTCTTGGAATCCACCCACCACAGAGCCAGCGACAACCTGGGGGTGTGGCACTGGGAGCAGCTCAGTCTCTAGGGGGACTTGAGGACAGGGTTACTATGTGCAGGGACTAGTCCTTTTGATTTGAATAGGTGACTTGTAATGGAAATATGGACATCTGCGATGACCTCATCCCACACACTGTCACTAACTCCTTGCACACACTTATAGGAGCAGCTTGTGAATGTGCACAGACCTGTGCCCTGTCTTCTCCACTGCTCACGCTGTGAACTTTGCACCTTGATTTTTTTTCCACTTAATGCATTTCCAGATCATTCCGCAAAGACTGCCCCTGTCTGTTCTTCCTTTCTTTCCCTCTTTCTCCTTCTCTTTCCTTTTTTCTTTCTTCCCAGATTTAGTTTTTATTGATAAAGTTATCAAAGAAGCTATTATCTGTTATTTTACAATAAAAAATTAAATAGAAAACTTTGGACCCTACTCTTGGTGAGAATTTTTTTTTTTAAATCAATGACTGCTTTACCTTGTTTGATAACTCCTTTCTAAGAATTGGTGATTAGCTAATTATGACGTCTTCCGAGGGCATTCTCCAGAGGGGCCCTGGGGGGTGGCAGTGGCCCCTGCGTCTTCCCAGGCTCCTGTTAGCCCCCCCCCCCAGCCTGTGACAGCCGCCTGACAGGAGTCCCCTCACCTCACCTGCAGGGGTTCCTAGAAGTCCAGCTGGTGAGGAGCTCGGGTTGGAATGTGGGCGTTTATTAGCATAGACGAGCTCTTGGGCATGCATCTCCCACCGTGCGTGCGAGGGCGAGGGCTCAGGAAGAGGAGCCTCGTTAGAGGGGCGGCGTTTCAGGTCCTTTGTGTCGTTGCTGGTCAGAAGGAAGGCTTTCCTCGCAGTCGCTGGAGTCAGGCGAGGCCTGGGTATTCTGCTTTCTGTGAATGCAGAGGGAGACACTTTTGGGGTGCTGGGGGTGGAGCCCAGAGCCTTCCCAGCACCTGACCTGCCTCTGAGCTGCATCCCAGCCGTAGGATTTTTTTTTTAATGGAAATGAAAACGTAGGGACATAAAATCAGCCCTTTTAGAATGCACGGTTCCGCAGCGTGGGGCCCACCCTAAGTCCACCCCGCAGCACCTCTACCTAGTTCCAAAGCGGTTCTCCCCGTCCCGGAAGGAAGCCCCGCGTGCCCTGGGGTGGATCCCCGCTCCCTCCCCCCACCCGGCCCCACCCACCCGCTTCCCATCCCCCTGGTCACCTCCCCTCAACGGCGGCGCCACACGGGGGTGTTTTCGAGGTGCACCCCCGCGGTCGGCACCTCACTCCCTCGGATGGCGGGTTCCTCACCCCTCGCCGACCGCTGCGGGGAACCTCGCTGCTTTGAACCGAGTGTCCTTGAACTTGGGTCCTGGTTTCGGATCGATCTCCGGGTAGCGCCTGGGGGCAGCCTCGCTGGACCGTGTGGACCGCCTAAGTCTAAGGTTTGGGGGAAACACCAAACCCCTCCGCTCTTTGCCCACCTTCTTTAAAAACCAGGCTCAGTCCGCCCTCGCTCGCCTTCCCTTCAAAGTCCTATTAGGTAGAGCAGCAGGAAGGGATATGGGGACATAGGACGGGCAGCAGGATGAAACAGCCATTATTCCTACTCTACCTAAATGCATGTCTGCGTGACCGTGTGACTCTGCACCAGGTACAGTCAGAAACGCGAGAAATCATACTCCATCTATGTAGGATCTATCACAGTGCATAAATGCATTCTACTGTCACGTATAACTAATTAAGACAAATTTGAAATTTTAAATAAAAATAATGACAAGAAAAAGAAAAGAAATTAGAGCCAGGTGTGGTGGCACACGACTGTAATCCCAGCAGCTTGGGAGCCTCAGGCAGGAGGATTGTAAATTCCAAGATTGTAAATTCTCAGCAACTGGGAGGCACTAAGCAATTCAGTGAGACCCTGTCTCTAAATAAAATACGAAATAGGGCTGGGGATGTGGCTCAGTGATGGAGTGCCCCTGAGTTCAATCCCCAGTACCAAAAAAAAAAAAAAAAAAAAAAAAAAATAGCCCAAGTTGGCATTTTGGCACACATGTACATTACAAAGTGATTCAAGTTAATTTGCATACTCTCCTCCCCCACCCACCTAGGCTACTGCCAAATATTTCCTTTTCTATAGTGAGAACACCAACGGTCTCAGCAAACTTCTAGGGGACAGCACAGTACTGTTAACCTCAGTGACCACGGTCTCCAGAGCCCCTCTGTGATGTGGAACTGAAACTTCCTCCCTTTTGACCAGCATCTCCCATTGCCCCTGGCCCAGCCCCTGGCCCAGCCCCTGGCAGCCACCACTGGACTCTCTTTCTGAGCCATGCCTGGCCTGTGTCCCTAACCTAATGTCCTTCAGGTTCACCCCGGGGCTGCCCCAGTGCAATTTCACTCTTGCAGGTAAATGAAGAAACTCCATGGTGTACATATATCACATTTTCTTTATCCATTCTTCTGTTGATGGGCACTTAGATTGATTCCATAACTTTTTTTTTTCAACCTGAGATATGCATTTTTAATGAATTTCTAATACAAGCAAGGTGGTATCCACATAAGTAAATAAATACAATGTGGGTAGCTGAGTCCATAAATAAGTAAATAATCTGACTCCTTGAAATAGTGGCTGGAGATAAATAATGCTTACAAATTAATTATTTGAACAAATTAATATATAAATGCATTCCTTTGGAAAGCATTATAAAGGTTCACAACAAGAAATATTCAAATATAGTTTATAATTCTTATATTTTAGTCAGTGATTCTATATATGTATATATGCATATATACATGAACATGTATATAGACATACTTATTTATTGCGTAGAACTGACTGAATTTAAATGTATTTCTAGTTGTTTCAACACACCATAATCATGTTAACATCTATGCAACATGACCAGTGAATATATAATTCCATAACTTTTTTTTAACAAGTCACATTCTATTTAGATGGAAGTAAACTATAAAAATCTGAGTTTCTTCACCCAAAATGACAACAATATTTTCTGTATTATTTCTAGATAAACCGCAAAATATTTTATTTTGTAGATTTTCCAGGTTTTGCTTATAAATCATGACTGAAGGATACAGAAAATCATGTTTGTAAATGATTTCTTTCCCCTGGGAAGGACAATGGGCCCTGAGTGCATACAATTTCCCTTATCTGTA